AAGATAAGCAGTTGCATAAAAAAGAATTGTGTGATGAAAATATAAAACAAGAAGAAGGGAAATGAATACAAAAAGATTTAATAAGAGAAAAGAAAAAATACATAAAAGATATGAAAAAAGAATAAATGAGAAAATAGTATTAATCCAAAAAGATCCCTCACAATATAAATTTCAGGAACGTCAAGAATTAAGATCCCATCGCGCGAAAATACATGCACCCAAAAGATATCAATGGCATGTAGTCCACCTTATAAAAGGGTTAGAGCGTTACGCCTCTTCGACTCGCCAGCTACTCCAAAGACGTTAATGGAAAAGAGCACAATACATACTCCATTTCCTACTAAATGCACTAGGTTATTTACATTAGATAGGCCCAGACCTTGTAACAAACCTAATGAGAAACCAGCTGCCAATGTAAATCCTTTCACGCCAAATGGAATGTTATTAACTGCAAGAAAACGTACCAGGTCCAAACGTAGTCTAAATGGGTGAGTATAATATGGCCGTAAAACGTTTCGGATAGTTGAAGTAAACATGCTTTTTCTCAGTTCCCCAGATCTAGAAATTCCGAAGTTCGACCTCGTCGATTCTGAGGACTCCGACAACGAAATAGAACAGGCAACGAAACGCGTGGCGTTGCAGGATTCGAATATACCGCGATATCATCAAGAATTCCATGAACTAGGTTTGATCGGGACGGGTGAATTCGGCTCGGTGTATAAATGCATCAATCGGCTAGACGGATGCATCTACGCCATCAAGAAAAGTATTAAACCCGTGGCCGGAAGTATTAACGAGAAGAACGCGCTAAACGAGGTGTACGCTCACGCCGTGCTTGGCAAACATCAGCACGTTGTTAGATATTATTCCGCATGGGCAGAAGATAATCACATGATTATTCAGAACGAATACTGCAACGGTGGTAGCTTAGCAGAAGCGATTGTCAATTTGGAGAAGGAGAACAAGCGCTTCACAGAAGTGGAATTACGACAATTATTACTGCACGTCGCCGAGGGTTTGAGATACATTCACAGTATGCAATTAGTTCATATGGACATAAAACCTGGGAACATATTTATTTCTAAGGAGAAGAGGCTACTTGCGGTTAATTACGATTCGGCCGATGATGGCTTCGATGAGGAGGAGACGGTGGAAGAAGAGATAACGTACAAAATCGGCGATCTCGGTCACGTTACATCCGTCAACAATCCTCAAGTCGAAGAGGGTGATTGCAGATATTTGCCGACGGAGATTCTACGAGAAGATTTTAGTCATTTAACAAAAGCCGACATTTTTGCTTTCGGTTTAACTGTTTATGAAGCTGGTGGCGGAGGAGCGTTACCTAAAAATGGCGCCGAATGGCACGAGATTAGAAATGGAAACTTGAAAGAGCTGCCACATTATAGTCGCGACCTAAACGATCTTTTAAAAGTAAGTTGATTCTTAGTAGTTCGCACGTTGATCCTGGTGGCTAGATTTAACGAATGTTCTGTGTTTCTTATAGTCGATGATTCACCCGAACCCGGAAATGAGGCCCTCGGCGGTGAATCTTATACAGCACAGAGTACTGTGCCCGTTTGGAAACAAAACCAAAGCTCAGCTTCGGCGGGAACTGAACGCGGAAAAGTTGAAGAACGAAATCTTGTCGAAACAGCTACAAGAAGCAGCTAAATGTTTGAAAACAATTGCCCCGAACGTAGCGGCTATTAATAACACGATGAACGCTGGAGGTTACAAATTGAGACCTACGCCAACTAGAACGGCATCTCGGACAGTGGGTAAAAAAGTTAATAGAAGCAATAGTACTACAAACTTTTGAACGTTATATTCGTGTCATACTAGGACTAAAGGTGCTTAAGGGAAGCTAATTTTCTTTTTTAAGCGCCTTGACATTGTGATATGAATTAATTCTAATTTATAAGTAAAAAGTATGATCAGTAATTGATAGTACGATACAGTACAGAGTGAAATTGTACGATAGCCGTGGGTAATACTGTTGCAGCGATGAAGATATTATATTTTCAAGGTTTTTACGCGTCACTGTCCCGGAGGCAAGTTTCATTGATTATCATTACACAGAATGACAAGAAATTCTGAAGCATGTAATCTTTAAAGGTTTCACTGATGGGTAATACAGTATATTACGTTTCGATATTTTCTTTTATGTATAAGATAAAAAGTAGGTGCATAAGACAAAAAAAATTATAATTACTTTCGTTATTAGACTACTATGTATATGGAATACCACAAAATTTATTCCTTCTTTTTATAGACAACAAGAATAATCGTATGAAACATCTTCTCACGTGCCTTCATTCTTCTTGTTAAAAGTTTTTAGTCCTAACAGTATTATGACAAGAGCGTAACGTCAAAGGGTGTGAAAGAAAAATACGTTACTAACTAATGTTTTGGCATATGATTGTGTTATACTTCCGTTCTTCTCGTTCTTTGCTCGGGTCAACGTTCGGGAGTATCTACGATGGACTGTGAAATCGTTACAAATACATTATATTTTTATATATAGATATATTGCATATAATAACGGTTCAGTGTTGTGTATTGTTTTAGTATTTAATCTTATTAACTAATCTCTGTATTATCCATCTTTTGCTCTAACAATTTTTCGCTTCTCGCATACTCGGACGAAAGACTGCCACTTGAAAACATGAACTGATGACATTTTACATATTTGCATGATGTAAACTTTGTATCTCGACGATTTTTTAAATTCATGATGCACGAATCAATGTTGTACACCGTTCTAAACGATCTTTCTCTCCGATTGTAGATCCATTGTAGAACTTCATCCAAGCATGATTCCTAGCCCTGAAACTTACAATTTCACTCTGTGCTTTCTTTATACAATAGCTCTTAAAATCATGAACGATTAAAGGAGTGAATCTGAGAATAAAATTTTTTAAGTCCAAATTATTTTTATAACATTTTTTTATAGACTTATTATATTTGGCATGCTCTGGAATTGGTATTATACAATTTACACTTGTGTTTTCGAATTACATATATTGGATAAAGTACTGGTGTATAATAATCCGCGGCGTTCGTAGCATAAGCAGTAATACTACTGATTAAGCGTTTCTTATTTTATTTACTAATATAAAAATGTGAATACCAAATTCTCGCCTGTTCGACAAATTCAAATTTTGTAAGTTGATCACTTTTTCCTTCCCTCGGGAATGACAGAAGCTAACGATTGATCATGATTAGAAGCCCTCTTTCGACACCGATTAAACCCCGTCGTGTACAACCCTTTTGACTTCTAGTTAATAAAAAAATCAAAGTTTTTGTACCTAGACTTATTACATCACCGAGCATGCTAATATGTGATGATTTTTTTCTTTATTCCCGCGTCACAGCATTTCAACGTTGTATTTAAGACAGATAAGAGCGAAGATGTAGGATGTGTAATTACTATTTACAAGACGATATCTGGATTGCTTAAGATTTTCGATTATCATTAGGGTTTCTTTCTTCGTTGTAGTTTGCGTTACAAACTACTTGTCTTTCTTGTTCTTTATTTTTATGTATATCGTGCGTAAATTCGGCTGTCTAAATAAGGTCTGTTACCTCATAAAATGTTGAATGATGAAAATTTCTCCTAAATGTGTAACTCCGTTTACGAATCAATGTTATGTATTTAGTCATAGTTCTCGCCAATTGTATGAAACTTACGAACGTTTTGTAAGAAAAAACGAAAAAACACGCATGTGAATAATCAATATGTAATGGAGCTGTTTAATAGCTTCGAGGCCGTGGCAGGTGGGGTGGATCCCGACTTGTGGTGGCAAGATATTGTGGCAATATGCCACCTTTACACGCACTGTGAGCTGNATTACAAACAAATGTAATATTTCTACTTGCGAATTTGTAATAAAATGTTTGAACAAAAATTTCTTTTGCACGTGTTTCGTTACCCGCCTTTTCCAATCGCATATGTTCAGTGATATCCGATTTAACTGTTTATTATTCAGGATGAAATTAATGCAGGCGAAATTGTACGGACGCATGCGTGATGTGAAATGAAAACAGATTCCTTTGATGTATTCTCGTGGTATTTTCGCACGATGCAGTAAGAAATTTCGTGTTATACTCGTCGTTCGTACTGCGTAGACGATAAACATTTAAACAATTACCTAAATATTAGATTGTAATATTAACTTTCGCTGTTAACGTTTCCGAAGTATTTTCAGAAAACAGTTCAATCCCTCGCGGTCATGTAACGATTCCCCGTTTTCTAAAATACCATTTCTCGAGCATCTCTCAACTTAATAAACGTGTAAATACATAATCTAACAATTGATTAAAACCGAATTTAATTAGCACAAGGCACTATTATTTTACACGACATAGGAATCACAAACTCTTAACAATAGAAATTATTAGCAGAACATGATTGCATTTATGAATCTTATAAATACTACTTAATTTAGATGCATCTATCCTTTAATTTTATCAAACGACGAGTTCGACAGAGAATATAATAGTTAAGATAGTTGATAAGTGAATGAAGTTAATATATAGATAATAATACTTTTGCTTTATTCAATTATGTTTCAAGCATGCTTAAATAGGATCATTAGTATTTTATTGAAGTATGCACGCACGAAGGAGAGACAGTGCATGAGATTCTCTGAAAGGAGATCCAGAAAGAGAATGAAACACTGGCTGAATCTGCTCTTACGCAGGTTGCCCCTAATTTTTCCAAAAATGGTTTGAATCTCCTTTATTGTTATCTACAGTTTCTCATTGTATAAATCAATTTGATTTTCATTTATATTACAATGTAATGATTCATAGTGTTTAACGTGTATTAAACTGTGTTTAACTTTTACAGGCACGTGTGAAATTAAGTAAAAGATGCAACACGTTCATGTGCACAATGGCCCAACGAAGAAAAAACAAAGTGAAATTTTATACAGATATGGATACTTTTTATCAATGCTTCTATGCATGATACTTGCGTCTGTTAAACCACAGTTTGGTAAAACAAACGGTATCGATTTATAAGCAATTAATATTATAATGTAATTATCGTCCTTTTACTGTTTTTATGTGAATTTGTTATAACAGGTATTCTCAATGGGAACGTTATCACCCGATATTTTATAGTTCCCTTAACATACTTAGAAGCAGGCCTAATCTGTGATCCCAAGACGCTTTATTTAACATTGACCAATGGTTCTCTTCTAGTATTTACAATGATTTTTATATACGTGCTGATGCCTTTCGTGATGAGGCTTGGAGTATGCTTCTTAACTTATGCCAATGTCAATGTGTGGCTCTTAAAAGGAATGGAAGTAAAGATCAGAAATGAAAATCTCATTAACAATTATTATACGAGTAAGTGCATTTATATTGTTTTCTTGTTTCAGGTGCTTTACTGCATGCCACCCCCGTTCAATACCAGTTTCGTCCTGTGCAGATTGGCACAAGCAGACTTGTCAACGAGTGTTGTGATAACTTTAGTCTCCCATTTTGGAGGATTATTCATATCTCCTGTGCTATTGTACTTCGTGGTAAAGTGATCTGATACTCTCTTTAATGCGAATTCAAATTGCTGCATGTTGATCATTTTTACGTCAGCTAGGAGCATCGACACCACCCCTGGTCGGTGTGAACGTGAAAGAGACGATTTATAGTACAATCATACCGTTGATCATCGGTATCACGATTCAAGTCCACATTTTGAAGTACGACTTCTTGCCTAAGTTTAAATCACCGTGGTTTTCTCAGGGTCTCTTATTAGCCACAGCATACCACTGGTTCTGCGATGCTGTGTTAATAGATGCATCGTCTTTACAAGCGATCGATGTACTGTTATGCGTATTAATCGGTAAGTTTAAACCAGATAAATGTTTGATGGCTGTAAATAATTATCGTGTCATTTTATCGCATGAACGTGTCCGATGTAAATCGTATAAATTCGTATACAGTGGCGGCATGGTCGATGTTATTTCATTGTGCTATTAGTGTACTTTTATGTTCAAGCTTGCGTGGGACAACTGTTTGTTAGCTGTTTGTGTTGGATTTTATGCTCCCGGTGGTTACCCCGGGAAATATTACTAGCCGTGCTGTTTTCGATTACTCACAAGTCGGCGGGCCTCGGTAGCTGGGTCCTACGTGGTGCTTATCACGGTTCGGCCCATAGCCCGACAGTGAATTTACCATTGTCCGTACTACCAGTTGCACAATTACTATTGGGTAGTTTGCTGGCTGGTTGGTTGTCCCCTTAATCTAAAACACAATTAACTTTCCGTGCAATTACACTGCTTTCGTTCAAACTGGCATGCACTCACCGATGTGCTTCTCAATGTATTTTTAAGTATATTATTCGGTACTTAAGCTTCCCAGTGAAGGTATACATGTACATTAATTTTGTCATGGAGAAAGGAGAAAAAAATTAATATCTTTCACAGGAATTTCAAAACTAAGGCATTCTGGGTATTACTTATTAAGGTATCTAAAATCTAATATAGATGATAAATCAAATGCCTTAGTAAATAGTGTTCAAATATAGAATTAAGAAGAAAGTTCTTATAGATTAAGGCCTGTTAGAAGAATGAAACATTAGGTAGGTTTATACTAAAAATTGATTTCAAAATGTATCAAATAAGTTTATTCGTATGTATAATGAAATGCCAAATATGTCGAGACATGATTTTTTCCTCTTTTTCTTTTATTTACTGCGAAATTTTTTACTTACCTTAAGAACTAATTGTTAAGAGTATCTCTGTAACAATTAATATATTACTTTTCTTCGATACACATGTATATTGAAATAACTAGCGTAAAGTTATGTGTGTGCACGAATAATTATTTCTTTTTCGATTCTAATCAACTTAGCTTCATTGACATTTGTTAAAATGAAATTGTGACAATTATACAATTACACTGTACATCATTACAGGAACAATTTTAAATGGTACATTAATTGAAAGTAAAAAAAGAGAAAGAAAGAAACGAGAGAAACCGAATTACACTACTTCGGAGAGTTGTAACGCTATAATCTTATGCGGTAATTATTATAATAAATTGTATTTGTATCTTACAAGTTATAAATATAGTTTCCTCACTTTCGATTGTAAAATTTCTGAAAATTAAGTATCTACCTATTATATCTAAAAGTCTGGCTACCTTTTTTTTTTCATCGTAGATATACACTCGAAAGTAATAACTCTCGAACGTAATAACAAGAGATGAGTCGCGATTCTACAGACGAAAAGAATGAAGGACTTCGAAATTCAGAATAAGATGTTTTTCCCATAGAAAACATAGCGATTTTATTCTACAAATAATGGGATAAATTTGGTTAGTTTTTGTTCTTGTTGGAAACTTGCGTATCTGCTGTTTTTTTTCCTCTTTTCCTATCTCGCGACGCATAACATTCGACACGGTACATTTATTAATACCGTCATAATGCGCACGCGTAATATATTTTAATAATATTAACAAATAGTGTAACACTCATGAGAACGTGTATGAGCTCGTAAATCAGATTTTTTCATGGAAATCATGGCATTTAATGCGTCGAACGACAGTGCAACGGTGGCGCAGGTGCTGGACACGTATTGATTCGCCCAGATCATTACACAGTCATTGTAGCTGGTACCAAGTTTTTGTCACGAGTTAAGCCGACGCTGCTATCGCCGCCAGCTTCGCGATTCACCGTCCTCGTCTTCCTCCTCCTCGTTCTCGTTCTCCTCGAGGAGCAATGCCTCAGCGTTACCCTGTACGCATAAACAAAATGATTATATACGGTATACGCGCTAAGTGATTTTTGTTCGGATGGAAGATCGTGACACTGTGGATATACACTCTTCATTAATGAGCAACGTTTAACTCACTTCTAACTCGATATCTTCCTCGGTGGTGGGCGCCGCCTGTTCGGAACGCGAAGAGAGTTGCACGGACGAGTTCGTATTACTGCCAGCTCCGCCGCGGTGTAGGTGATGCCCGGACACCCATGTTATGGACAATAATCTATCTTGAAATGTGCGTCCTTTGACTAAAGCTACCTCGGCTTCCTTTCTTGATTTGTAATTGATCACGATCGACGGGGTCGCATCGTCTACTATTTGATTCACTATTTCGCCAAATTGCTAAAACGATACACATTATTGAGATGATACAGACGTAACACAGAGAGAAGGATCTGATTTATCAATTGTAACTTACTTGAAAGTGCGCTAAAACTTCAGCCTTCTCTTCAGTTTCATATCCAGAAACTAAAAGACTCGTAGGTCTATGATCTACCGAAACGTGGGCGAAGCCTCTGCCACGACCCCTATACGATAACGCGTGGCTACCCCTTATCACTCTGCTGGATCTTGTACCCCTGCCAATGGCCGAACCTGCATTTAAACCCAACGCAGCTGCCTGCGCACGTAATTCGTTTAATCTCTTTTGCAATTCCCCAGCGTCTTGTCCTTCCTGTTGCGCTGTCATTAAATCTAATTCCGCGTCCAGTATCTCTTTCTGGGTTTGTTCTCTGGATTTCGCCTGTGTCTTGCCACCACCAATCTGGCCGTTGGCTGCCAGGTCTTTGCGAAGATTGCCGATAGACTGCTCCATGGTTTTAATTGTAGCCATAATTGCATCCTTTTGTTCCGGGTTCTTCTCGGCTTTCTCAATTAACGCTCGAAGCTCTATCAAATGCTTGTCTAACAGTTCTTGTTTCCTCTTTCGCAAATCGGCAGTCAATTTCATTGCCTCTTTACGCTTCTCCTCCTGTTTCTTCTTTAACGTCTCTTTAGCGGCTAATATCTCTTGAGTCTTTTTTATCACGAGAACTTTATCCTCCCGAGTAGGAACAGTAGCAGCTTTTGGCGATGACGGAGCCAGTGGCTGCGGGACTTGTTGCTCTTCGGTTGAACGACGAGTAGGAATATATTCGTTCTCATCTGTCTTAGCCGGCGTTGTCACAGCAGCACCTAACCGTTCTTTGACCGAAGGACGGCATCCTAAACAATGGAACGCGTTAAATGAAACGCTCGACTCTTGTTCACGAAGTGAAAAATTTGATAAGAATATCGACTCACCTGGTGGCACATTTTCAATCGCACTACCAGCTGCATTATTGTTGACATTGTTATGCCAAAAAACTTTGATAAATCTATTATTCAACACAGCCTCTGTACTTCTGTATGCGGCCTTAGCTTCAGCTGGCAGCTGGAAGGTGACCAACGCTCCCTCGGGATCGCCACCGAAATTAACTTGGATATTTACAATTTTACCGAACTTCGAGAAGTGATTGTTCAATTGAGTAATGTTGTTCAAGCTACGGGGAACTTTTTTCAACTCCAGGGAACAATTAGCCGGATTATGTACCACTCGTTGTTTTGGTCCGAGGCGATTGAAATCGAACGCCTGTTTACGCTTTAACGGATTTGTTTGCGTATGCGTTATCTCGGACGAGTTTGTGTGTGGAATTACTGGCACGCTAATCAATTCCCGTTGACCTCTCCCGTAGATCCCTGGGCCAGGTGGTGGGTGTCTGCCCCACGGCATTCGCGGCTCCATGCTCGGTGCATCGGGATTATATTCAGCGAATGCATCTGTCGAACACAAAGACTGTATCATGTCCTACTAGGAGCTTATTAAGCATGTTTGATGAATGCTTACCCATGTTAGAATGATGTTGATTCCTTAAATGCGGTGGAGGCAAACTCGCGAGGGGTAGATGTTGAGGCGGAGCATTGCCATTGGGTCCTGGAGGCGGTTCTGGTACTGCTGTTACAGGTACTGTTCCTGGTGCTTGTGCACTATGCGGACCGAAGGTCAGCACACGACTTAAAGCTACGTCTTCTAACACGACTGGATCCGTACCATGATCATAAGGGCAGAGATCACCTCTCATGCAATATCCTTTCTCTACAAATCAATACTTATTCATTCCGCGAACTAATTGGTTTCGTCAATAAAATAACTGAAGTCAATACGAACCGTCGAAATCTCTACATCTCCTCTTCGGTTGGAAACCCGGCTGGCTATTTGGAACATTAGAAGCAACGGCGACGACGCTTTGAATTGACTGACTAGTAGTAGACAACCTCATGTCCACGTCCCCGTGATTGCTATCCTGTGTCGGAGTGCCACCACCGGGACTGCCTTCGATTCTCTCTGTCCTGTCTACGTCCATTCGATCAGAACGATCTATCTTCTTACGATCCAACGACCTGGATCGAGATCGAGATCGAAGAGGTGTCGGAGATCGGTTCCTAAATCGAGCCCTGTGATCACGATTGTCCGGACCGTCTCGTATTCTCGGACGTATCGGTGATGTACTACGACTTCTGCTCCGCCTGTGAAATGATTTTTTCTTTAGATATTGTAAAGGAGGGATGATCGTTCCCGAGAATTTTGTTTCGTACCTTCTGTCGTGCCGTCGTGTATTTGGTGGCGATTCGTTTCTCCACGGTCGACTCCTATCGCGTTCTCGGTCGCGACGAATATGTTCCCTGCTTCTTGATCTACGCCTATCCCTTTCCCACGATCGGGAACGCGACCTAGTTCGAGATCTCATTCGGCCACTTCTAAAACAAATCGTAAGTAGCAATTTAGGATGACTTTAATACTTGAGGGTTTGTTTAAGACCTACCGACTCCTAGAACGTTTCTCTTTCTCTTTGTCGACTTTATCAGAGTCCGATTTTCTCGTTTCGCGTTTGCCTATAGCCATAGGCGCAGATCCGTTCATTTGGACTGGAGCAGGAGGATTGGCGTTTATAGGAGCGATTGGAATTGTACTTTCGGTTACTTTTTCTGTGGTTAATGTAGGCGGTGGTGGATTCACACCAGGTGGTGTCCCACCACCGTCCGGATCACTTTTCGGAGGTGGAAGTACGTACTCTTGAGTTTCCAATGTCTTGAATAATAATTCCACGAAATTTTTTGTTTCTAAGTGAACAGACACAATCACTGTTAAACGATTTCTTAACAGTTTTATGAAGCGACAGGGATTTAAGGTTACCTTGCTGCAAAAATACATCAAGCTGCTCGACCATTCCACCCCTTAACTCCTCCAATGTCTTGTCCTTCTTAACAAGGGCATATACATATTTTGCTAATGCAGCAGGGTCTGCGTCACAGCTATAATAGACATTATATTCATTCATTCTTTGTTTCGACTTAACACTCAAGTAATAATTATCAAACATAAGCCATGCAGCAAGTACATATCCGACTAAATGCAACTTTAGCTAAATCAATAAATTAGAAATGAACAAATGAAGTTGATTACACATTCAATACAAATCAAGTATCACATAATGTACAGAAAGCTGGGTGATACTTTTAAGAATTGATTTTTAATGAAAATATTCCTGTATAATTTAATACAAAGATATGTACAATAAGAATGATGTACGGGAAAGGGCGATTGTTATATTCTTCCCGGGGGGTAAACAATGTTCTAATTAAGCATTACTGTCAACAAATCAGTAGAAAATGGATAGTCACGAGTCGAGTTGTTTATGTGACGGGATTAGGAAAAGAATATGCGTAGGTTTATCACGATATTGAGCAAAATATTCGTGTCGCTGATTGAAACAATAAAATTTGGCCTCCCGCAGTCAATTATTCGAAATGTGCTCGGTGGAAAATACACACGAAATGGATGATGAAGTCGACGTATCGTGATTCGGCTCGTTGTTGTCAAGAGATTGATAAATACAAAGTAGGCATGAAACGATTTACGGATGATCGTTCGGGAGAGCTAGGAGAGTAATACATGTAAATAGAATTCTGCATGGGGTGTAAAGCATAGCACATGTACGGCCATTTACAACATCAAATGCATACACATACACCTAAGAGCGTACTCGGACAAGCTGGCCTACTTACAGTGGTTCCAAGACGGCTGTGAGCCACGCCTTGAATTGATCAGGATTCTCTATTATCATTTTCAGTGAACAGGCGACGAAAAACACATGGAACTTTTCAAAGACACACGGTAATTACACGATTCCTGGGCGGGAATAAGTACTCTCCTAAGTAAAGACAGTCGCCATTCTGAAATCTTTTTCCTATACATGCAGCGTTCACATAGATAGTCAGTTCATTTCTAGAAACTATCGCGAGAGTCGCTGTCAGCATTCAGTCAGATGGGCTAGGTCAGGCTAGGTTCTTGCGGCCAGTTCTTTACTAGATGAGTCTTCTGCTATTTAAAAATATATCTGCTCGATTTTAAACTAACCGTCCAAATAAGAGCGATTTATTCGAAATTTTTTGTTACAAATTAAATCCTGGAAACATCGTATGTATATTTTCTGAACAGCTATATAGTGCCAACTTGAATAACTGCCAGTCAAAATCTCAACACTTCCCTGATAATTAAGTGGCGATATCCGATTTAGGATAACTTCATGTGTAAGTGAGGTAATTAGAAAAATCTGCTTCGAGTATATAGTCACTTTATTAATAAATAGCTTAGTCAACAAGATTTGTTCTTAATTTTATGAAATATTACGTGTGTTTATTGTCAATTGTACTACTTCTAGTTCAAAGTTTTGGTTATCTTTCTTGTAATAATGACTTATTATACCGGCGCCTAAAGCGTCGGCCACAATGTTCATCGTGGTCCGAAAACGATCTCTGTGAAATAACGTTTTCATCCATCACATCTCTTGAAATCAGGTAAGGCATTAAAAAAAATTTGTGCTTACACAAACCAATCGATGGCAATGATCAGGGAAACGTCTTCCACTGGTACCCCGACGGAGTTCAACACCATAATAAGCATTACGTAACCGCCACTAGGTAATCCCGCGGCACCAATGCACGATATAGTACAGGTAATACTATAAATTTGTTCATATTGTTGTGCACAGCCTCGTCGACGAGCTTAGTATCTTACTTAACGGCGAGAAGAAAATATGAGATACGAACCAGATTATTACAGTTTTGAATAACGAGAACTGAAAGCCATGTAACTGAATTATAAATATTGCCCCAATACTTTCGTACAATGCTATACCGTCCATATTAATAGTAGCTCCAATTGGCACGATAAATCTGGACACTTTAGAAGGTATCCCAAGTTGTTCTAAGCACGATATCGTTACTGGAACCGTGGCTGTACTAAATTGTAATTTGACGATGCTTACAATCTTGTCCGTAAAACGAGAATTAGTATAATATCTTCGTTTGTCATTTACCTTGATGATGTACCAAACGCTGTGACAAATGCTGGCCCAAGTTTAAGTATAATATTGTATGGAGATTTTCGTGTACATATAAAATATAATAGGGGAAGTATTATGAGACCTTGTATGATTAAACCAGTGAACACTGTTAAAATGTAAATTCCAAGTCGTTGCACTACACTCTTGAAGTCTTCCACTTCGACGATTTTGCCAGCGATTAGAAATAATGCACTTATGGGTACCATCCTGAACAATACGAATATTTGCATGTAGTATACATCGATTATTTTTCTTACATGTGATAATTCACTTTACATTATTGCCCAATTCATGATTTTCATCATTGCATCTGATAAAGAAAAGAAGAAACTCTTTAGAGCTTCCCCTTTTGACTCTATGTTTCCGATTGCTAATCCCATGATTAGACTAAAGAATACTAATCCTAATACATTTGTTCCTGATACATTTGTATGATCTATTTCCCATTCTTCGATTGACACTAAAATATATTAAGTGAAAGGGTAATTCAATTTTTTCTGGTCGGTTATTTCTAATGTACATCGTTATTATCACATACCGCATTCGTTACTTGGTTTTCTTAATGATGTTTGATACTGAAACAATAGTTTTCTTATTTTCTGTTCTCCAATTATTCACGAATGATATAGGTAACACATTACCTGAAATAAACATGCGCCCACTATGTTGTCCGGTAAAAGATTTCTGTAATAAAATACGGTAAATTAAACAAAGGAAGACACGAAACGAAAGAAGTAATGTACCTGAATAAATCTAAAACACTGTCCAGTGTTATAAAGGATCTGGTTGTGTTATGTGACACGACGTTTTGGCTTTTAAGCAATTCCCCAGGTTTTGTTGTCTGTACAAGTATAACGCTTAATATTATACCAAGCGTCGTTGTCGTCATGTAGTAACACAAAGCCATTCTTCCGATCTGGCCTATGTAATTTAGTAATTGAACATAATATTGCTTGTGGTAGTTTTATACTTACCTGATTTCTTCAAGTTGCAAGTAGCACTCACTATGCTAGACGTTACGAGAGGAAGTATCAAGCAATTTACCATCCTCATGAATAGTTCTCCAGGGAATTTTAAATACATTATTTCGCGTTTCGACCATGGTTGAGGTGTAAACGTTTTAAGAATAATTCCTAACGAAATACCAGCAAGCACCCCGACAATCGTTCTGAATATCAACTTATCTCTTAGTATTCTCCTCAATATATTCATTTTGGAAATGTATCAATGGTTCTACTCTGCTTATATGTGTTCTCTACTGTAATATAAATGATGTATAGAAGTACTTTTGACGAGAAGCAAAGATAGGATTCTTTATCTCTGAGAATGATAAGAATTTCTTTTTATTAACTATGTGGAAAATTGATCTTATGATATCTACAGTATTATGTAAAGCGTTAGGAGTATGGATGGTACATTACTTAAAGATAGAGGACATCACCTTCAGGAAGATATCTTCTGACAGTAGATGCATTTATGACCCTTTTACAGACGCGATAGAACACGCGACGTAGTTCTACCTACATGCTCTTTTCACGTTCAATTTATTGTCAAATTACTTTACTACCGAGAAAGACACGGCGATCATTACGCAGAGAAATGAACGACGTAACATCGATGGTTTGCTTTTTATTTATTTTGCATCTATTACAATATAATAAATATGATCGTGCACAATACATGAAGGATGTGTATTTACACACGTTTTTTTAAATTAATCTTCAGGCCATAAATTTACGTATTCGTAACTTAGTTCGCATTATCATGCTATACGGTTTTTTTTATATATATCATTTAATATAATTTATACATATCTTTACAAGTCTGCGTCGCCCTTCGAATCATCGATACATCACATTATGCATTTCGCCTGCATCCAGTCTTCCGAGGAAAAAGAATCTCATAACATATCGCATTTTTTTTGTTCCATTAAAATCACGACTAATTAATCCTTAAAAGGTTTCGATAATTAGTTGTCAGTTTGATCGTTTCGTTTATATGAAGTATTAGTGAGATCAGTAGAGAATTTTATTCAACGTTACATTTATACAAAGTCATGTCTTGTAAAGTTTACATATCTAAATCTACAATATTTCTCTATACTGCTTAATATTTGGTTTTCTTCTTGTATATTGCGCAATTTTCGCCTCCTTCGTGCGTTTCATGTTTTTAGTTCAAATCGCGATTCTTACAAGTTTCTCGTCGTCTTACTTCTTCATGTGAGGTAATTTGATTTTGCTCAAATAAAAAGAGAAAAATTTGTTTATTGACTTCCGTTTTTTGGTGATTACGATTCGCCAACCGCAGTAACGGATCCCGGTATCCTGTTGAGGTGTCTCCGACGACAGAACCTGCCGTCACAGAAATAAATCAACGTATCGATTAAACCCTTCATTGTTCCCTTCGGGCATGGTTACATTTTACTACGTAATAGCGATAATTTAACTAGACACAACACGAACACACTTAAACGTGGGTTAGCGAGACCGGTTATTCTGAAAAGATTGTTAGAACATTAAAAATACTTGTTCCGTTCGCTATATTTCTAAGATTCATCGCAAAAAAAATCTAATGTTACACGTGTATCGTTATTTCTGGTCATGCAAAATATTTGTAAGTTACGATTTAGTAAGAAGGAATACAAAATCTACTGATACCACTTCCAAAACTGGACACTGTAGTTACAGTGCATGAGGATCAGCTACTTCTATATTTCCTTACAAATCGTAAATAGATATGTATATCATAAAAAGGAGAACTTAAACAGATTCGTCATTCAAATGAAAGTCGAATTAAAATAAAGGATGAATATATTTCAATTCTAACACTAAAGTGTACGACTGTAAAATTGTAATTATATATATTCATAAAGCATGAAGTTTGTGGTGCATCGTAAAGAAAAGTAAGTATTGTTCTATGATCATTTGTACAATCTTAAACGAGCTGTTTCATCGAGTGAATTATTCTTTACACAATATGCGTGGCCTTTTCCCCCTGTATAGTGAAATTTGTGTCAATACCTGTCCCTACAAAGGTGTTTCCTTTCGTGCCTCCGCCTTCCATTGAAATCCGTTTACCCGCGTAGTAATAGGCTTATTCCTATTAGTCGCGTTCTCAATTCCGTTCCTAACACCTGCTACTAATCTCATGGCTGGGTTGGAAACCAAGCCATTACGCTTTGGTTTTGCATTGCTCGCGCTGCAACAGAAAGTTCCTCTATTTGAAAAACAAGTACGCCTCTCAATTCTTAACCCCTTGAACGACAATTTATTTTCAGTCAGCACTTGAAAAAGAGGAAAGTTTATGACGAGCTGGACTCGTTATTTCCGTTCAAGGGGTTAAGAGGTAACAGAAAAATGAAGAAAGAAATATCTTTCGAAACACGATTAATTTTATAATTACCTGGCAGGTGTGTGGTCAGAGGCATGTTTCACGCTTCTGCCAACACCAGCACCGCTGTTCCCCAATATTATCCTCATGTGCGTGTCTCTGGTGAAGTGAGTATCGGCCGAATTCCTTTTGTCCTCAAGTCTGTTCTTTTTATCCTTCAGACCCAACATCTCGTTCGTCAATTCGAATGGTTTGCTAATGTCGTTCTTATCGATGATCTCAGTTTTTATATTAATCGGTTCGTAAATGGCAGACGTGTGGTTGTACCCTCCGATCTGTGCTTTGTACGGCATATTCTGATTACCGGATAGCAATGACACCCCTAGCTGACTTTGTATGACGTTGGCCGCGGTCTGAGCACTCGGTGGACTAGTGTTTGTCGGCGAATACGGAATCAGGCTGTCGCTTAACGGCGAATGAGGCGGCGAGGCGTAGATAGGGCTCTGTGGCTCGCTCTTCAGCGGCGACAAAAGTTTGCTGAGCGGCCGACTCTTCGCTCCCCTCGAGCATTGTTGTAGTTGTTGCGTGAAAGATAATGGTGTCTAAAATTATAGCAGTGAGATAGAATCGAATTTGTAGCGCGTGTAGAGCTTCGGCTTTGGGAGAAATTTTAAGAGACGGCTCTAAAAATTTGTTCCAAGCGATGGCTGAACACGCCGTTTAGCCCGAATCTACGTTCAAATTCTGAATCGTTTTTTTTTAATTCTCGTATGCAGAGTGGTACTTGTAAAGAAAACGATCTGTACACGTGTGCATGAAACAGAACGAACAAAAGCATGCAATCAGATAAAGAAACTATCGAGTGATGAGCACCGATTGGAAGTGGTATCGGAGAGCTCTGGCTCTTCAAATTACGCAGAGTTAATTGAAAAAGCATTAGGGACAAATTGTTTGTTACCTACTTTTATTACCTGATTCACCATCGAGTTCTGGTTGAATTTCCCTTGGTCACTCTTTGTACTTCCGGTCAGATTACTGCTGGACTTGCTGTTGCTCGAATTGTTGCCGAGGGACACGCAGCTCCTCCTCTTCGTCGAGTCCGGTGACTCTGCCGGACTGTACTGCGTAGACAGCGGGTTCAGAATCGCGGACGACGGTTTTGTTTCGGCTGTCGAATTCGATGTTACCGATGTAGCGCTGCTACTTCCACCTGTGTTACGATTATCAGCGTAATAAAATGGACAACGAACATATTTAAAACTATTGATAAACAAACGAACCTCCGTTAATGCCAGGTCTGAGGCTTCGTTGGTTAGCCGAATGTTCCTCGAGCAGCCTGACTACTGTGTCGTGCCCGCTTTTCGCTGCCACTTTTATAGCATTCCGGCCGCAGTGATCGGAGTGGCTGGGATCAGCACCGTGATTTAAAAGTGCTCTTACGCAGTGTTCGTGACCTTCTTGTGCGGCAATACCTGTTCCAATATTATATTATATTAATTTCGTGGTCGCGCACATTATATCTAATTACAGAAATATAGATTACACCTTACCTAGAGCTGTTGCTCCCTGATTACAAGTGTGATCAGGAGTAGCTCCGTGTTCCAAGAGCAATCTGACGATGGCAGCGTGTCCTTGCCAGGCAGCGGAGTGCAGAGGTGTTCTGTTTTCGTTGTCACAAGCGTTCACGCTAGCACCACCTTCCGTCAGCAGCAAGGCCACCATCTCGACGTGCCCTTGCCAAGCGCTCACGTGCAGAGGAGTTCGACCCTGTAAAATAATAAATTTAATTATACACTTGCCTTTTCAGACGCTATTTTTTACACGATTTTAAAGTTACACGGTTTTCATTAACACGATTTTTTAAAATGATTTATTCAGAATTTCACCGTGTAAAAGGAGAGTCAGATGTATATTGAAACTAAAAATGAGAAAAAATTTATTTACTTCGGAATCTCGGCTTTCAACGTCTGCCCGCGCATGTTCCAATAAGAATCGTGCCATCGCCAGCCTGTTCTCCAACGCGAGGATGTAAAGAGTGCTCCTGCCATCTGCGTCTTTTGCGTTCACGTCCGCGTTGTGGGCTAACAATACTCGGACTGTGTCGTAATGGCCCTCTAAAGCGGCGAGTCTACAAATTTTTTTTAAATAGTTAAGAATATATTTAATTAAAATTAAAATACGAGTTAGATTACCTGAGAGCAGTCTTTCCATCGTGAGCGTGTTGGTCGATGGGCGCGCTGTGCTGCTCCAGGAGTCTCTCGACCAACGCGGCGTGGCCCTCTTGCGCGGCCAACATCAGGGCACCTTTCCCGTCGTTGTCTGTCTCATCGATCTTTGCGCCAGCTTCTAGCAACGCTTCGCAGACATCGATGTGGCCTTCAAACGCCGCATAGTGCAACGGCGTCCAACCAGAATTGTCCCTATGTTGTTCATCCAAGCCTAAAATACAAAACACCCTCAATAAAATAAACATTAAATTCCCATTTAATATAGAAAAGGGACTATGTACCTCTGTCTAACAGTTGTTTGACAACGTCGGTGCCACCTTGGGCAGCAGCCACACTGAGAACGGTCCTGCCTTCGTTATCGATGCTGTCAACGTAACAGCCCCAGAATAATAGCAGGGCGACCACCGTTCCGTGACCCATGCTGGCAGCTGCCCACAGAGGTGTACGGCCAGTAGCGTCGCAATGGTCCACATCCGCTTCGTATTCCAATAGTAATTCGCAAACGTCCCTGTGTCCCTCGAACGCAGCCACAAGCAACGGCGTCATGCCATCCTTATCCTGGTGATCGACGGCAGCCCCTCTTTCCAACAGGATAGTAACCACCTGTGGCAGAAAATTCAAACACGTCCTTAAAAAAAAAAGATCATACATACAGTTGCGATTTGCTGTAACTACTTCAGAATTTAACTAAACTGAGATTTAGGTGAAACAGAGATGGGGTGAAATAGAATGATATTCAGCGAACTGAACGCTTGCAAAGTGCAAGGGTTGCTCGTTAGTATACGCAACGACAGAGGTAGAGAGTATTCGCGTTCGGGGGTCTGTTAGTATAACAATGAATCTCGCAAGCATCCCGGCGTCGTCTGTCCACGGAAACTAACTTTTGCGTAGCCGTGATTGGACGGGACGCAGAGAGCCGCGACGCTGAGCGCAGTCCTCCCGTCGTTATCGGCGTGATTGATCTCCGCGCCGAAGTCTAGGAGGTGTTCGACGATTTCGCTGTGGCCCATGTAGGCGGCGGCGATCAACGCGGTTCTACCCTCGTCATCAGTTCTGTTGACGTCGGCACCGTGCTGCAACAGGGCTTTAACGATGTCCTCGTGGCCGCCCCAAGCGGCTGCCCTCAGCGCGGTCCGTTGATCCCAGTCCGCGCAATCCACCATCGCCCCGTGCTCCAACAGCATTTCCACTACCTACAGTATTTTCATTTCACCGTTTTTATTCTCGCCTCCTCGTATCAATACTTACAAACCTCAGTAAACATTGGGATACGTTAATCAAGCGTGAAATTTACTATGTCAAACGATACCTCGCCTTGAGCGTGACTCTACTGATCGAATTTTATGCAAAGATGATTGTTAGATGACTGGTATTCTTGTTTTCATACCTGAGTGTGGCCACCCCAGGCAGCAGCCCTGAGGGCTGTCCATCCATCGCAATCGGCGTGGTCGGCACAAGCCCCAGCGGCTAGCAAAACCCGCACCACATCTGCATAGCCGTGTCTCGCCGCGAGGTTCAACGGCGTTTGACCGTGACGATCGGTAGCTTCTAATTTCGCCTAAAAATAAATATATCCAAATCACGTAAAGATTGTATAATAATTCCAAGGGAGGTTTCAATGATTAATCGAGGCTTCTATAAACGAAGACGTTGGATTTTAAAAATGGGTATCCTTACCTGAGGACATGTTGCCAGAGCCAGCTCCAGCAGAGATGCATTACCGTCTGCAGCGAGCGTGTGCAGCACTGTTCGTCCACAAGAATCAGCTTGATTGATGTCCCCGCTTTCGCCGAGCAGTTCCGTTAATGGTTCGCTAGGAGATTCATCCATGGGGCTTACGTCTTGCGAGACCTTGTACACAAAAAACCGCAACGCGACCGTTACATAAATCCCATTGGAACCATTATTAATCAAGTAGAGTTCGAAAGAAACATGCTAGAAGAAAATGCATCGTCGAGTCTGCAACTGCTCAGCTATCCAGAAACTATTTTAGACTCACTGGACATACATGCAAAATGTAAATTTTCATTTTTACAGTATAAGTGTTCATGAATATTTCTTGTGTGCACAGTATTGACAGTTCGACAATTAAATACTCTAAATTTTGCAAATAAATCCAAACTAAACTTCGAATTAAAATCATAGTTGGAAGCTCACTGCCTCGCAGTTTAACTCAAACAAAGAAGAAAGGGAAATAAATTACTTGACTAGAAGAAACAGCATCCTTGCTGGCATCGTCCTCGACGGTCTTCTCCGAGGGTTTCGCGCCAGCGTCGATCAGCAGCTTCAACAGCTTCACCTCCTGCCTTGGCCAGAGGATACACTCGGAACTATCTAAGTAGCAATCCTCGATCGGTGCTCCGCTGCCGATCATCCAGAGCACCTGAAGCGTATGCACGTCTAAATTGCAATTAGTCGTGGCCACGCTGGTGATCGCCCGCTGGAGATGCTGCCCCAGGACGCAGATCTCGTCGGCGTTCAATTCCGGCCCGCGCAGCGTATAATACGCCGCCAGCATCGCGTGACCTTCGACCGCGGAGCACAGATACTTCTGCGTGCAGTGTTTTACGTCGAGCAGCCACTCCGCGAAGCTGTGATGGAACAGCATCAGGGCGCCGGCCCGGGAAACGGAGATGACGCGTCGCAGAAGGTGCAAGCGTCGATTGAAATCGTCTATGGTGATGTTCGGACAGGCGGTCTTCACGCACTTGAAGAGGATCTCCTGGGTGATCGGCAGTTTCGCGGCTAGGATCACGTTTAGGAGGGGTTGAACTTTGGCAAATTGCTTACGGCTGAAGAGCCTTTGACACAGCCACAGGTAAAGACCGTTCAGCGTGCCTGGGATCTCGCGCACTTCCCGTAGTACGATGAAATTCTCAGCCACGCCGTCGAGAACCTTCTCCAGGTACAAGAAACATCCGTTGCTCTTTATGTGCAGCTGGTTTAGCATCTCGGCCGTGTCGCGCGAGATGTGCTGCCTGCACGAATATCAAACGTTTTTCTGATACGCTGTTACGATTTAATGATCCTTATGGTAATTCATGATGATTGACAATGACAGACAATGATTTTTCTTTTAAAGTAATGGTTGAAGCCTCTACTTTAAAATGCTATTGTAAATGAAAATCAAGCACGAAATTTTGCACTGACCTAACACATTTCATTGTACCATGTAAATGTTTTCTTTATTACTCAGTCAGTACTCAAAATTATCAAACGCGTACCTTAAAGCATCTTCTTGATCTAACCGCGCTAGGATGTACTGCTGGATGTCCCTCACGACGAGGGACTTCCTCAGGTCGTCCAATGGGATCTTCCGGAAACCGCTGAACATCCGGGAGATCGGTTTGCTCTGTCGCCGAGCGGTGCAGACTAACAACAGCCATTGAGGGAACAGGTGATGGTGGTTGGCTAATAACTCAGCAATCGTCCTACTGACGTTGTCGTTCTCCCTCCTCGAGTCCCTGGTGCCCGTCTGCGGGACATCCAGGGTTTGTCCCTCGTCGATGGAGTCGACCAACAGGAACAGGCAACATTTCGGTGGTTCCAACTCCAGCAGTGGGAATAGCAAAGCCTTTTTTAAAGCGTCGTCGGGATCTCTGTCGAGGACATCCGGTTGCAGGGCTGCTTGTATTTCCGGGTCGGTTCTCAGCTTCTCCGCGTACGCTTCTGCCACCATCTCCCTGGAGGACAATGGCACCGTCGTGGCGTTCGTCGTCGTGCTTCCTGGTATCGGAGAACTCGAAGAGACTCTGTACAATAATTATCATATTATGAATTTTACTGTGAATTCAATATAAAGAATAATTGTCCCTTAAAATCTTTCCCCATCAGTAGCCAAACACTGTATGTTATATCTTAATTTTATCAACCTGTGGATCCCATCGGAACCGGGTTGTAGGAGCTGAGCAACCAGAGATCTGACGAACTGGGCTGGTGACAAGGACGCCTCGCTCCTAGCTTGGCAAAAATGCCTGGCGAGCAGCCTCCTGTTTAAAGACCTTTGGTGCCTGGCATTGGCACCGGCCGAAGGCCAAGCCAATTCCGCGCTGAACGCAGTTTTCCCGCTTCCTGGACCACCGACGACCAGAACGCCGCAGGTCTTCGAGGCTGGCCTCTGCTCCAGACAATGAGACAGCTTGGTGAACGCCCATTCGCGGCAAAAGAATCGTTTCTTCTCGATCACCGGCGCAGCCATCCTTTCAATGATCCTCCGAATTGATAAGCGATTACCCTTCGTTGCTTTAGGTACTCTCCCGTGAACTCATCCGTGAGTTGTATCAAAGAGGGTTGAGCTCGTGCGTCCGGATAGAAGTTACAGGCCGTGTTAAGTGTCGAACAACTACGTTTGAATGCTAGGCTAACTGTACAGTCGACCACCTTGTTCAATTTGCAGTATAGAGTAAGTTCTAAAAAATTAGTAGAACTATGTCCGTTTGAATTCGTCTAGGCTAACTATAAACGTCGGCCACGTTGCTCGGTTGCAGTGTAGAGGAGAATCTGTTAGTGTATCTAGTTTCGTTGGTCGAATGGATCTTTTGCTCTTTCGGTTTAGATTGGTTGCGGACTATGGTTCATCTCGATGTACGAGGGAACATCGGTCAGAGGGAGCCCAGGGGGCTCTGAGGCTTCCTCGGCCTCCATTCAGCCTTCTCATCGCCTCGCCGCGGACGAGCACCGCGTTTTCTGTCCCCGCATTCTAAACCTGAAACAGCAGAACAGGCACATCCTTTATGCTATTGATCCTGGCGTCAGCTCTTGCTAAAAGATCCTCATGCAAATCCAGACACGGAGCAAAGCCACTCAGAAATATTGCAAAGCATTTTTCTTCGAGAATAGCCGCTCGCTTCTCTGAAAGTCGGTTAAAGGAAATCTGGTTATTCCTCGTTGAAATTGCATCGAGACCTGAATAGCATTTCTTTTACGCGGAGACGTGGTTGCATTTTAATGCCACGCTTCGTAGCTCCGCTGCTCTTTTCCTGACTTTAACATTTAAAGACGCCACTGTCAACAATCCGTTAAAACTTGTTTTTTCGCTAGGCAAAGTGCATATCCAGCGCACTGTGAATTAACTATCTGTTTTCGTTTCATCCGCTCGGCGCGGGTTTTCACGTTCAGGTCTCGACGGAGGCAAACGCGGCTGGTTAATAATTAGAAAAGTCAGACGGCGCGGTATCTCCGTCTCATTAGTGGAACTAGTTTGTCATTGGCCCTCCTCTACGTTTCTACCAGTAATTTTGCAGCCCACCCGCGAACAGACAATTATCACGGTCGTTTGATACGAATTTCGGATCGTTCACCGTCCCATGAATAAACCCCGGAATGATGCTTTTCATTAAACGCGACACTGTTACGTACCTCTAGTATTTCCTCCATCAAGGAACTACCGCGATCTTTGCCTCTAGTGGCTTACAAATCGTGTGTAAAGTAGAACATTTTTAATCTGGATTAAAAAATGAAATCTAAAGCTGTTCAAAATTTATTTTAGGTGTTCCTACATTACACGCGATATTGTTGCATTATACATATGGTGTAGTTAATTTGGATTTGTCGCCATTAATAGAGATTAGAGTAATACCTACTTAAGAGGAGATATAAATCATGTTATTACTCTGATCCAAGTGCACATTATTACTATTATTATATTGGGCTGGCAAGAAAGTAATTCCGATTTTCAGAAGTATTTATGCATGTATTCATGAAAAAACCGAAATTGCTTCGCCAATCCAATAGAGACTGATTACTTAATTCTTTATAAAATTGTAGGCACACGCGAGGGTGAAAATTGAAAGGATTCATCATGAAAACCCTTTAATCCCGACGTGTTCAATGCTATAATCGGATTGAATCGGTGGAAAGAAGGTGGTCTGAGGCGCGTCGTAATTAACCGGCGCATTATACTAACTGGGAACACGGGAATGCGTGAAATACAATGGGTAAGGACAAGCAGCAAACGAGGCGTTCGAATTCATGGCGACCGAGAGTAATTAGGTGACCCGACGCTCAAAACGTCGATCTCATTCGTGCGCGTACACTGCCGTTAAAAAGTACCAAAACTTCAAAATATATTTATATATTATATTACATGGATACTTATATGTACATGGATATACTTGTATATTACATGGATACTTATATATATACATGGATTTTTAATACAGAAGTCTTGTACTCGTGGATTCGTCTATTTTCAAGTCTTATCTTAATAGTAGGGTAACAATTGCCTTAAATATTCATACGTAACAGAATTTAACAAGAAACGTTGTTCGCAATTCTGACTCTACACTTTTTAGCGGCAGTGTACCCATGTTCACCCCCGCTCTCATAACGACTCATAATTATCCCTGTGGACCCGTTCTTTCTCGCGTTTTTCCCTTGCCCACGCTCGGTTCTCCTTTCTTCTTTGGTGTAGACGCCGCGTGAATCGAGTCGAGCGAATTAACTAGACTGCCGCGTAATTAAAGCAATTTCTCGGATGACACTGCCCGATGCAAATTACGAGGCTCGAGGTGGTAGTCAAACCGATGAGATTTTCTAATAAGGAATCCTCAGGCATGTTTGCATTGATTAGCCTCTTTAAAGTATAATCAATAATAATTGTCGTCTAAAAGAATTTTTCAGTGATTCTATTAAAAAGGGGAAGAAAGACTGATTCACGATTTGTTCAAATACAAGAAT